ATATTCAATCCGAGGGCGCATCAGTGGGCATTGCTCACCCTATTTACCTACTTTTCTTTTACGACGAGAGGATAAGAATATTTTCCGCATTTTCTTCCTTTTTGTGATCCTTTGTTTTGGGGATGCGTTTAGCCGCAGATTTATTGCCTAAGCCATCCTAGCGTCTCGATGTCTCAACTTTTACCCCAGAGTGGCCGGGAAACCTTATCCCAAATCGATCGATGATATTTCAATATATTCATTGGCAATTCTCGCACTTTGTTTGGGCAACGTCGCTGACCCCTGCCGAGGGCAACGCCAAGGAAGACCTTTTTGCATAAATCTTGGCTATCGATGACCACGGGGAGTGCTAATAGGATCTTCATTTGCGAGTGTTTTGTTGACACTTCGTGATGCAGATGCCGGACAAAGGCCTCAAATGAAGTCATTGCGCGTGACAATGCAAATGCGAGAAGAGCTCGTGAGGGGCAGTTTGGGCATCTTGGACTGACCAACCCCGCTAAGGACACGCGTCCGAGTAATCTTCGACGATTAGAGCTGGTCAAGAACGAGTTATCGGATATACATGAATATTTTCAAGGGGTAAGTGACCAAAGGGTTGTCGAGGTCAGTTTGGCACGCGACGTCCTGAGGCCCTTACTTAATTCCTAAGATAATTATAGGTTTAAGGAGTCTTTTATTTAATACATGAAAACTCTAATTAACATCCAACAAAGGGGTATTCACTCTAATAATAAAATATATAAATAAATGAAGTTCACATCTTAGCATCTTACTTAGAACGCATTTAGGATAATTAATATTAAAGTGTTCTTTATTTATAACATTTCAAAATTGAATAGAAATAATGTAATTATCTATACAATTTGTAGCTCTTGCTGGAATCCATTGTCCCTGACCATTTCCCATGAAAAGTTCCCCGCGAATTCCTTGAGAAATGTCCGTTAACTCGAGAACATGCTCGGGTTCAGGTTAAACAAAATGGCTGACCTCTGGCCGCAGAGCTTCCCAAACGGGACAGGAACTCACTGGGAACAAACTGAATAGATAATTTGAATGCATGACCGCAGGAACCCTTTGAACCCGGTCGCCATTGTCCCGCCTGTCCGTCTGTCCCTCTGCCCGACTCAGATGGAAGCTGCCGCGGCCTCAGCAAGAACAGGATCTACAACGGGACGATGGGAGGCGACACCCAATATCCAGACTCGAGTCGCAGCATCGCTTCAGTGCTTCCCGGCTGACCAGATATCCGGCTGTGGACCGCCATATGGCTCGTATGCGTATTCCTGCAAGGGTTTCATCCTTTCATCCTTTTTTTTTTTGTGAGCTATGCTGTCGAAATTTTCTTCGCGGCCTTCCCGAAAATTAATGCCAATGTCCAAACCGGTTTCCTTGTGATTTTCATTTTTGATTCGTGGTCGCGAGTCCGGTCCGGTTTTCTGGGCTGCGAGGTCCTTCCAGCGACCCTTTGGCTTCAACCCTTTGTTGTTTTCCCCGTCCCGTTTCCGAGAGGATGCGCAAAAGCGAATGAAATTGCAGCTTTCGGCTTCATTGTGTTTGGCCTGACCCGAAGGACAAGGATTAGATGAGAAATCTTTTTCTCAACTTCTTGTTTTGTTTTGTTTTTTTTTTTTTGGTCACATCCTTGAAAGGATCTGCCAGAAATAACCGTTATAAATTAGCGGTGGCAGGAGAAACGCTCGAAGGCCAGAAAATGGCGGCCGAACGGGCGTGACAACTGACCATCTCAATTAGTCGTCGTCCGCCGGCCACGCGTCCAAAAAGATGACCGCTCGAGATGACCCTTCTTGCCCAGAAACCTGTTTGACCACTCAGTAGACGTCCATTATCCTTCAAGAACTGGCACACGCTGGCCATTGGTCAGTCCCTCCAGAGATAATCTGTGACTTGGCACTCGTGTTGCCATTGTCTACGAAATTTCACGTGTGTCCGCTATGATTATAATAGGATTATAAAACGATTTTATATATATTATTTATCCCAGATATCAACGAATTTGATTTATTTGATTTCTTCAATCATTAGCCAAGGGTCAATAAGGAGGCACACACAAAGTGCAAGAAATATATTGAAATATCATCCAGCTATTATATGCATTTTCCTTAAGTTGAAACAACAAAGATCAGTGGCCAAACTCATCCCAAAACAAATCACAAAAAGAAACAAAATACAGAAGATATTCTTATCGAGAATAAGAATAGGTAAGTAGGGTGAGCAATGCCCTCGGATTGAATATTCAAACGATTTTTGTTTACTTTTTAGCATAAATTGTGGAAATTGTGAAGAACAGAATAGAGGACAAAGGAATCGAAGTGCCACAGGCAATTGACGTAATTAGGGAGATAGATGGGATGTGCGTCCCCAAATGATTCCCTGAGATTTTCTCACGTTGATTTCTTTGATAGTTTTTCCTTTACGAAGAATATTCCACTAAGTTAGAGCCCCAGCGACAATTAAAACCCCATAAAGTGGTGTCCTCCTCATGGCTAATTGATTTCCCAGTGTAATGCTAATTCCAAAGCTCGGGCCGAAATAATAATTGTCGCTGGAATAACTCCAATCAACCGACCCAGCAAAAGTAACAACACTGAACAAAAGTTTATCCTTCGAAAAACATTTGTAACTGAATATATGTCATATGTAAATTCACCAGGCAAATGCAAAAGCAAAAATGCCGAAATATAGAAATGGAAACAGAGTCATGAATGGATCCTCCTTATACATACTACGGATTCGGAATGTACGGGCTTTTGTTGGCATTTTCATGCAGATTTCCATTCTCAGTTGCCATTTTCCGTGCGGCCTGGAACCTTTTCTGTAATCAATAGCTGGGAACTCGGGCTAGTCCGGCTGCGTTATCCATGTCACTCAATTATGGCAACAATTGGTAAATCCACTTCATTCTAATTCCCAATTCGCCAACCGAGTGACAAGCCATGTCCTTGCTCCGTACGCCTTTCCCCTCCTCCCCTGCTCTCCTCTCTCTGAAATGCAAATTCAAAATCAATCGTACCTCGCCAGCCGCCCCTCGCCAATCGATTTGTTCGATGTTCGGGGATTTCCTTGCTGATTTGCATAAATTTCCGAGCTGCGCGCGTGCGCAGTCGCTTTAAGGTCCTGAAATGGTAACATAACCCTCCTCCTCGCCGCCGGAAGTGCAGGTCCATTTGCATAACACTAGCTATCGAGGCTGGTGATCCGAGGCCGAATGGTGAACCCGAGGCTCTGCTGTGCCAAAATTATGCTAATGGCTCGGCGTGCCAATATTTTACAGCAATAATTTATGCAAATTACGATTCGCAAGGGTCTCTCTATGCGCCTGCGCAGCGGATGTTACATGTCGCCTTCTTATTCGAACGGAAAACGCTTTTAAGGGTTTGCCTAGGTTCAGCATTTCTGCGAACGTTTTTTTTATATGCAAATTTTTATTCGCGATGGCTCTACGGATTTTTGGCATTTTTAATTGTGTTTTTTTGGCACGATTGTAATGCAGATTTTTTTGCTCGATTGTAATTTTAATTTCGAAATCTTTCGCTGTGGCGCCAAAAATTTGGGATTTTATTTTTTGCAATTGAATGGATTTCATTCGATTATCTGAGGAACGGGAAGACAGCTGCTCCAGTTTGCGACCGCGCCATTTCTTTAGAATCATTTTGATTTGCCATTTCGCGGAAAAAAACAATTTTTGCTGCTAACAATTTGCATAAGGATGTGATCCTTGATCTGGGATCTGTATTTTGTACAATTTAAGATTTGATTATATTTATGGAAATTGCCATTTCTGATTTAATTATATTAGTGTGAGAAAGTTGCGAATGGAAAAGATTTCTGGAAAAATTCCTTGCGATATAGTACATATAGATGACTTAATCTGTAGTTTTTATTTAAGAAATATATAATATAAACCCTTAAAATGTTCCAATAATATTAGAATAGGAAAATAATTAATAAGTATCTCTGACATTATACATATAGTAAAATGTAACAATAAACCAATTTAGAATTTAATTTTATAAATTTAAGCTACCCTTGCGAAGAACTTTACAAATCCTCGTTATATTTTAAGAGATATTTCTCTTCTCTTATTAATTATTAAGCTAAAAATAGGCATCCTTAAAAAGTGGGAAAAATAATAAAAAATTGTTTAACTTAAGACGTTATTTATGTAAACTACAAATTGCAAATAAATGAGACAAGCTAAGTATATGTTTTTGGCTTTAAACTTATTGTCTAATCATCATTAATTTGTATTATTTAAGGTTTCAGATCTAATTGAGCTTTTTATTAAAATTTGGATTATATAATTAATAAAATACGAATTAAATTTTGTATAATACATTTAATGAAATACGAATACATCCTAATGCTTAAATAATAAGAAAATTGTTATATAAATATGATATTTCTATTAATATTACTTGATTTATAGTCCAAACTAAGAAAGTAACGTATTTTTGCCAATAAATACATATTGATTTAGTAAATTAGATGATTTTGCAGAATTTTCCCTAAAAGGTAGTATCCAAATTCCTTTGCTGTTTCATGTTTATCCATCTCTTTCCTTAACGCATTGGTAAAGGCAGATTCCTTTACAACTATTCCCTTGCTCTCTTGCATTCTATCCCATTTTTTACCTAAAAAACCTCTCTTTTCCAGATAAATTTACATGAACGCTGGCATTTTATTGGTCGAGAAAAGGCTGTCGAAAAAAATCGGGAATCGAGCCGAAAAACAAGCTGCCTGAGCTACCGAGTTTCCCAAGCAGAGAGCATTTTCCGGCAAAAAGGGTCGCTAAAAAACAGGGGGTTGGTCCAGCCACCACCACCACCACCGTTTGTTTGTTCGTTTTTTAAGAGAGCCAAAGACTTGGTGAGATCGGTTTTTTAAGAGCATTACCGAGAGGGTTGCAGAGATGATTTCAGCAATTTTTGCTATATTAGCTGGAGGCCGCGGAAGAGTTGAGCCAGTTTGAGCCTCGCAGCCGAACTTCAAGGATCGATCGTGGCAAGACAAAGTCGAGAAATCTGAGTGCTGAGTGTTGCAAAAGGAAAATCGAAAGAAAATCTTAAAGAAATAAGAATCTGCCAGGATTCTTCGAACTTTATAACCAATCGTGCTGTGCCGTGCTGTGCTTTACACAAAATGTCCAATCAAATGGAGTTTATTATGCAGCTCTACATGATGAACTTGCTGCAGCAGCAGCAACAGCAGCAGCAGTTGCAGCAGCAACAGCAACAACAGCAGTCGCTGGCTGGATACACTTACACACAAAACGAGGATATTTCCAGCAGCACTTGCCTGCAGCAGCAGCAACAACAGCAGCAGCAACACGAGCATCCGCAGCAACTTCAGCAGCAGCCAGAAATCTTCAAGACAAGAACGCACAAACGAATTAGCTCGCAAAACACCAACTGTAGTAGTAGCCGTAGTTGTAGTCCCAATAGTAATTTGATTGCTTTTCAACAACAACAACCACATTACACAGCAGCCACGCCCCCCACACCTAACACCCACAACAACAATCTGGTTGGTCAGATGTTGCTTAACACTCTGCCACCGCTCACTCAGTACATGTTGCAGCAACACCAGCAACAGCAGCAGCAGCAGCAACATTTGTTGGCAACATCGAACCTCCTACTAACACCCAAAAATACGCCCAACAACTCAATGGCCTCGAATGTCGAACAGTTTACCACAAATAATTTTCTGCAATCCTCCACAGTGACATCCACGCCAATCGAGAAGCCAGCAACACCAGCAGCAGCCTCAGCATCCTTAGCAGCAGCAGCAGCAACAGTGTCAGGATCTGCTGCGGTTGAAGGCAACCTTTCGGCGGTCACAATCAAGTTTGAGCAGCAATTTGCCGATGACGAGGAGAACGATGACAAGCCGCTGTCCAGCCTCAACAGCTGCAGCTCCTCGGGCATGGCCAGCAACAGCACCAATGCCAGTACCGAGAAGCTGCTCCTGCTGTCGGGCGTCCATCCGCTGGAGTCAACCTCAGACAGCGTTGACTCACCCAGCATGGTAAGTGATCCAAGATTAAGATTAAGATTACACATCAGAAGGGTTCATAGATATAATTTTGGAAATTAATTTAATATTTTGGAAGACAATCAATGAGATTGTATAAACAGTTTTCCCTATTTGAATGTTTAAATATCAAACAGAACTCTCCAAAAAGTATTCATTTGCTTTTTTATGGTTCCCCATTTTACTTCGATTTCCTTTATTCATTTTTTTGGGGTATATCCCACGCTCTGTCCGTGTAATTTGAGAGACAAACATGAACCGATTCGTGATCTTCGAGCTTTGAGTGTGAGAGTAAACAGAAAAAGATCGCGGGATTCCAAAGAAAACAAACAGCTGTGTCGGCAACGCGTGGGTTCCCGGTTCCCTCGATCGCTGACCAGCTGTGGGCACCAGGCTGTCTGAGAATATATAATAATATGTAATCCCCTTCCATTTGTCCCCCCCTCTTTATGCAGTACACGCCCGTAAAGCAGCCAGCGGACTCATCGTACAACATCACCACACCCGTCGAAAGCGAACTGACCCCCACAACACCCCAGACCCAGACCACGTCCCTACTGACGCCCCCGTCCAGCGAACAGAGCAAGAGCCTGGTGAGTCTCTCGGCCAGCGGTTTGGATGCTCTCCTCCAGAGCGAGGAGAGTCTGAAGAATCTGCGCAAGGTTTCTTCCTATTTGGAGTGCGAGAACCCATTGTGCCGGCAGGAGAATCTGCGGGAGCATTTCCACTGCCACGAGGAGCCCTGCCAGGGCAAGATCCTCAGTAAAAAGGACGACATCATCCGGCATCTGAAGTGGCATAAGAAGCGCAAGGAGAGCTTCAAGCTCGGCTTCGCCCGCTTCTCCTCGGCGGACGACTGTGCTCCGGCCTACGGAGAGGGATGTGCCTACAACTGGAAGCAGACGCATTACCACTGCATCTACGAGCACTGCCCGAAGGTGTATGTGAGCACCAGCGATGTCCAGATGCACGCCAACTTCCATCGCAAGGACTCTGAGATCGTCAACGAGGGCTTCCGACGGTTTCGGGCGCACGAGAACTGCCGCATTGAAGATTGCCCCTTTTTCGGCAAGAAGATATCCCACTATCACTGCTGTCGCGAGGGGTGCAATCACACCTTCAAGAACAAGGCTGATATGGGTAAGTCCACTCATCACTCCTCTTTATCAGTAATCCATTGCTGATCCTTATGTTATATATTTTTCTCCCTAGACAAGCACAAGACCTACCATCTGAAGGACCATCAGCTGAAGATGGATGGCTTCAAGAAAATCCTGAAGACCGAGGTGTGTCCCTTTGAGGCCTGCAAGTTCTCCACTGTCTGCAATCACATCCACTGCGTTCGGGAGGGCTGCGACTACATCCTGCACTCCAGCAGCCAGATGATCAGCCATAAACGAAAGCACGACCGTCAGGATGGCGAGCAGGCCTACCAGCAGTTCAAGTGCAAGCAGGAGGATGTGGGGGAGTCATCCCTGGACGCCACTCCCCTGCAGCAGCAGCCCCTTGGCGTGCCTCAGTCTCAAATGGGCCAGGCGAGTTGTAGCAGCAATTCCTCCACTCCGCTCTCATCCCTCTCCGCCGAGCACTTCCTGTCCCGCAAACGAGGAAGGCCTCCAAAGAAAATTGTAAGTATCCATAACACATAACATATTTCCTCAACTAAAATGTATATTTATATCTTTTAACTTGCAGCAACTCCCAGCTGATGCTCAGGAATCCGAAGCTAAGCGTGTCAAGGTCGAGAATGAATCCTCCAACCCACCACCTTCCCTCCTTGTGCCCCCGTCCCAGCCCGTTACCCACCCGCTGGCCAATGGACTGTTCCCTGGTCTGCTGCCTGCCGCGGCTGCTCCTGGAGTGGACCCCACTGCCCCCAGCAACTTCCAGCTGACCCATCTGATGGCCCTCTTCCAGCTGCAGAACCCGCTCTTCTACCAGAACCTCTATCCAGGAGTGACCCAGCAGAATCCGACCATGCTGGGGAACCTGGCAGCGCTCAGTGCCGCTTCAGCAGCAGCGGCGGCGGCAGCGGCGGCGAATGGTGTCCAGCAGCCGAAGGCGGAGTTTAGCTTTAAGCCAGAGTTCAAGGAGTAGAAAGGATGTCTGTCCCCAGGGTAGTTTGTAAATAGCAAGATGGACAGACGGACTACAGACGATGCCTCTTTAGCTGGGTTGGGTTAGGTTCTTTCGGGGCTTAAGATAGGACCAGGACATGACATCCTTCTACCCTCCATAAAAGCCAACTCAGCCGCACTTTGTGGAGCTTCTCAAGTCCTGAATCAAGGTGCTGCTGAATTGGCTTTTGTCTAGATTACATTTTTCGAGTGCCACATTAATTTCTAAAATTTTCAGCCAGCTTAAATAAATAAAAGAAGAAATTCTTCGACTTTAGTTTGACTAAAACTGTGATGTTTCCTTAGGCTTGACTCCTCTATAAATCAATAGGACGGACATAGGGTAGATAGTAAGCTAGTAACATAGCAATATAAGCATTCCATTGTGTGATATACTAACAAATAATATATTGATAGTTGTTTTAATATTAAGACAATGTTATAATAAAGATTAAGTGAAGGCTCATTTCTTTCAACTAAGAGACATCCCCTTACCTGAATAAACTAACGCGAACTGTCTTTAAAATGTAGTATAATTAAAAATACAACTTTTTGTTATAATTGGAACATATTAATGTTTTTTTGTATTATTGAATAGGTTTAAAAAATCGACTGTAATAAAACGGAATGCAGAATATCAATTGAACATACCTAAGAAATTGAATTTGTACATAAATTCATTATTCTACCAGGTTCTCCTAGGGTCAACGGGTATTATGGCTTATAACAATAGAAAGGCATATCCGTTTAGCATCACCAGCCGACTAGATTTAGCGTAGTAGATTTAAATTATCTAAAACACGGTTGGCCTTTGGCCATTATTTGAGCATAGCAAACAAAAGTAGATAGCTGTCCTTATTGGTTGTGTATCTATGATTTTTCATGTCCATAGCCTCCAGCCCAAGCAGCGCATTACCCCCAAAAATGTGCAACAAGATATAATATACCAAATTCCGAATTGATTAAATAATTTTTGACTTTATTACTGTTTTCATGTAATTGTTGTTGTTGACTTTACTCATATTCTAACACAAATCAGCTACACAAACTCCGGGACGCATGACAGAAGCGGACCCGGCTAAGCAATAAGTAATAAGTACTCAACACAGAAGCAATTATTATTTTGATTTTGCCTTAACTTGTGGTTCATATTCGATAAGCACGTAAACAATTCATACAATCCAAGTACCGTAATTATAATTATAATGAAAGAGATTTTCAGAAATTTGTTTCCTATTCAAGAACAATGTACAAGCAAATGTCATCGGAATTGATTTTATACATTAGGTTTCTGACTCTAGTTTACATAGATTGCAAAGCAAAACCCTGGGATAAATGTACAAATATATAACTAAACTAAGTATAATAGTGTTACGAACTAAATGGTGTCTAGAACTAAAGAAACACGAAAATCAACAAGTACAAGCTACTAAGTAAATTCGTTAAGTACGTTAAGTAGGGTCAATGGTAAGAGGGGGGTAAACTAAAACAATATAAACTGCCTTTGATTTGGTTTTTGTGTGCCTAAGGTTATAAGCTTCGAGTTTTGATAAAAAACCTTGAAAAAGCATTATCCAATTCCACATCTTATAAGCATATAGACTCGCCCCATATACTGGGCGATCATTTGTAACGATTGCGTAACTTTCGGAGCAATATATTTATATGGCAACATTTTGTGCGCGCCTCGAAAACGAAGTACTTAGTTGTATCTTATAGGCTGGAGTTAATGGTATCTAAGCCGCAACATAGGAGGTTATGAGTAGCGTGGGGGTTCGGTGTTCAGTGTTGTTTCAATCTGCTATGATCCTGCCCTAATCGCGATAGAATCCACGGAGCAGCTTGCCAATGAATCAGAACCGTTAGCTGCGACCGGTGGCTGAAGCGGTGGCCTGCGGCGGCGCCAGTTCCACGGGCACCGGAGCCACTCCCACCATAGCTGACTCCGTGCTGGACTGATGCTGCACACCGCCCAGCGCTATGGCGCGCATATGGTGCACGGGACGAATGGACTTGAGCTGCGTGGTGCCCTTGAAGCGGACATTCACATCGCCACCGACCATGCTGAGCGGATGCATGGCCTGCGGCTCCTCCTTGGCCTCCTCCCGCGGCAGCATAGCAGCCGTTGTCATTGCTGGCGGCACCTGTTCCATATGCGCCGGCGAGGGTGCCGTGGTAATGGCCACGCCATAATTCTGGCGCTGGGCCAGCGGCGAAAGCGCCGGCGGTGTTGTCCGGTAGCCCATGCGACTGAATATGCTGCTGCCGCTGCTGTTGCTCGCCGTGCTGGGCGGACTGAGGGGTGTTCCCACACCCGAGTCCACCTCCAGAGGGCTCTTGATGTTCGCTACGAACTTGTCCACATGCTCGGGCAGCTTCAGCTCGTTCAGCTTGGTTTGCATGACGGTCTGGGCGCTGGCGCTGTCCAGGAGACGATTGGGTCGCGACGGTGGCGTCGGAGATGCCGCCGACTCGCTGGTATTGGAGGACTGGTGGCCATTGAGGCGGTGCTGCTGCTGCTGCTGGCGCAACTGCTCAAAAAAAGGTGTCTTCTCCTTCTTCTGCTTTTGTGGCGAACCATGTTCGTCTCTTTCGGTCAGCTCTTCGAGGACCTTGAGTGGAAACCCCAAGTGACTGTTGACGGAAACGGATTTGCCGATCTTGCGCTCGGCGAAGATGGGCTTGCGTCGCTGGCGCTCCAGGTCGTCCAGCTGCTGCAGCATGCGTCTCACCTCGTTAGGCAGCTCTAAGTCGGGATTGTGCTCAACCAGCTGGCCAACGTAGCGCCCAAGGGTCTGAATGGTCAGTTCCAAAGACTGCACCTGCGACTGCAGCGAGGTTATTTGAGCCTGTTGCGAGGAGCGCGTGGTCTCCAACTGGGCAATCGAGGACTGGGCAAACTGCAGTTGCTGCTCAAGATGCTGGTTCTGGGTCTTCTCCCTGTTCAGCATTTCCAGATGATGGTTGGTGGTGGTAATCTCCTCCTGCAGCACATTGTACTCCACATTGTACTCGGCCAGCTGCTTGCCAATGTCCATGTTGAAGACCAGCTTCATGATTTGCTCCATACAGCCGGCCTCCATCTTCGGCACCACCGTCTTTAGGTAGTCCATGATCTCCTCAAAGTTGTCCTTGGCCAGCAGCTGCTGCTTGTGCACGGAGAGCAGGGCGATGGCGAACTTGAAGATCACATCGGAGGACTCCAGGAAGAGCAAATCAAAGACTCGGGCCACAAAGCCCAGCGGAAACTGTGAGCTGAAGACGGTAAGAATCCAGGGGGCGGCATACAAGGTGGGCGACACATCGTTCTGATCGAGCCACACATACAGATCCGGCAGATGATCCTTGACCAGGCGGGACAGCTGGTAGAGCTGCAGCTGGAACTTCTTCATGTCGGGCAGGTATTTGGTGCGCATGTTTCGGCGGAACATCAAGTGTTTCAGCAGTTGAAACGCATTGGCCTCGTCGCACTGGTAAAGAAACAACATAAATTAAAAATTAGTTTAAATTAATTAATTAAATAAAAAGTTTAACCCACGTGCAGGAGTAAGACGCCGCAGATGAAGCCGAGACCCTGACAGTAGCCCAATTCTGGGTCGAGAATGGAGTAGGCCTTCAGCAGATTGAACAGCGACAGCTGACCCAGTCCTAGGGGATCCTTGTAGAACTGGTGGTTGGGAAACGTCCTGCCGAGATCGATGAAGATCGCATGCTGGTGCTCGGTAAGATGCTTCAGCAGCGTGTGATACGGCGTGTTAAAGTTGGGGAACCGCTTTGTGTCCACCGGCGCCGTATTCATGGAATGCTGCTCAGCGAGGAAGGTCCACACATCGCCGCGCTTTGACCGCGGCACTCCAGTGCGTATGGCATGGCCCAGCACCTTGGGATCCTTTTTGTTGCCAATCTGCGTGGAGTTCCTCTCGATTATCTGCTCCCAGCGTTCGATTAGCTGCTTGTCGCACGGCACAATCTCCTCGTAGTCCAGCTTGATCCGCTTCAGCTCGTTTTCATTCTGGCGCGCCTGCAGCATGGCGTTCTCCGTCTCCATGCGGTTCAGCATTATCGTCTGCCTGATGGCAGTGCGCCACAATTCTCGCAGCTCTGCGGCATCCCGCTTGCCCCGTTTGATGGCTAAAATTCAACAGATAAATAAGATTAAGATTCTGATAAAGTAACTTGATAGTTTGCTAGCTTACGCTTTCTCATGGGCGACAGAAACTCGGTGGGCACCTCGCTGTCCAGTCCCTTGGAGGGTGTGACTACACTATTTAGTATGGCCTGGCGCCACGATCCCTGGTGGGTTTCCGCTTCCTTGGGGCTGTTGCCCACCTTAATGAAGCTGAAGGAAAAATAAAATAAATGATTCTTTCAATGGAAAGGCTTCTTTCCTTTTCCACTCACATGTCCATCATGGGGCTCTTTAGCTGCTCAGCCGTGGGCTTGGTGCTGGGGCTCGCTCCCACGGTGTTGGATCTCGAGCGGAAGCCTTCGGGCGGGGACTCTGTGCCCAGGGGCTCGGCAGAACCCTCGCGAATCTCCCTCAGATTGTGCGCCGGCACGGCTATGTCGTCCTTGGAGGGCTTGCGCTTGAGAAGATTATCGAATGAGTTGGTTAGGGAGCGCTTGGCCTTCATGAAGATGGTGCTGCCGCCGAGATACTGGTTAAGGAACTCAGAGCGGTTCTCGGCGGTGTCGTGTACATGGCGCTGCTGCCGGGACTCGCAGTGAGCTCGCAGGAGCATCATTAGGAACTGATTCTGCTCGGCCACCGGAGAGTTGGTCTTCTCCGAGCCACAGAACTTGGCCCACACAATCTCCTGCTCGTCATCGCTCAGGGTCTCGATTCTTCGCAGAATCAGGGCCTGGGTCTTCTTTTCTGTGAGTCCCTCGACGTCCGTGCACAGCTTGTGGTACCACAGCATAGGGCAATGCTCGCAGCTGAAAATCTGCGTCTCCTGCTTCTTCTTCTGCTCTGCACAGGTGTCAAAGGCCTGGGCAATGGCGGCCACAATGTCGTCGCACACGTGCTCCGACTGGCACTTGAACACGTAGCCGATGTAGCCATCGTTGTTCAGCTCCCGGCAGATGATCCCAAAGTGATCGAGTGACTTCTGGCCGTGCACACAGCTGGCCACATCCTTAAAGTCCTTGTACAGGAGCACCTGCTTGCGGTCCGGCGATATCAGGCGAAGATCGCAGCGCCCCACCAGAAACACCATCGTCCGGTTCTGCTCCACGTACGGCGGAATGCATCCCTGCGAGGCGGAGCGGTCCCTCTGCTTGGGTATGCTGAAAAAGCAGTCGTTAACTATGGGATTCTTTGAAAGGATTAAGGTGCATGCGACTAAAAAGAAAAGGGAGGCGATGGGTGCTACTTGGCAAGCAAAACAAACGAAAAACAAATGGAAGCAAGAAATCTTAGAAACCAAAGTGGGACTAATTCCAGTGCATTTTTTGCATTATAACCCCAGGGATCTTAGCAATATCCCAAAGGAGTGCAAGGAGGGTCTACTGAAAATTATTGCAAAAGGAAACCAAGGAACGAAAACGAAAAAAGAAAACGAAACGAAAACGAACTAATCATGCGACAGTCTGGCCGGAATGGGCCACTTACTTCTCCAGCGCATAATTGGGATGCAACTGACTGGGACCCGCGGCCGTGGAAGTGGCGCCCCCAGTCCCAGGGGCCACACCCTGCTCCCTGGGCGGCGTGGGCTGTTTGTTAACAATGACATTGGTCGCCTCCAGCTGGCCAGCGGCTGACGATGGCGGTGGCTCTGGGCCATCGGCGCTTTTGGTGTTTTGGGCAAGACGGAGAAGTTGTTGTTGGTCGAAATTGTCAAGGGAAAGGGGTAATCTGCGAGGCGACTGAATACTTACTGCTCCTTGTTTCCCAGCTCAATTTGACTCTGACCTCGCAGCAGTTGTCGCTTCACAGGGGACTTGTTCTCCTTGTTCTCCTCCAGCGGTCGGGGAGCAGCTCCATCCTCTGCGCCCGTGAGCTGTAGCTGCACTTGGGGTCTGGCCTGTGACCCTCGCACCTCCTCCTCAGGCGGCTGCTGCTGCTGCTGCTCCTGGTCCTCGTCCTCTTCCTTGAGGTCGTGGCTCTTTAGAGAGCTCCCAGCCTTGGCCTCTATGCCAACGCCTCCTTCGCTGCTAAGCGACATTTTGCGGTTCTGGAGGAGCCTCAGCCGCTGGGCATCGTAGGCCTTGAACTTGGGCAGGGCGTCGTCAATAAAGGTGTTGGGCACCCGCTTCTGGGAGACTCTAATCTTGCCCACATACATCACCTCGAAGAAGTGCGTATGATTTGGCGAGATGTCCGCCAGCAGGGAGAGATTACTCTGGGCCGAAGTGGACGTGGGTATATTCACCGTGCCCGACGAGCTGCTCAAGCCGTGCGTGTACGACTTGGAGGCCTTCATCTTGGAGCTGACGGGATTGGGGCTTGTGTCGTGCTGGGCACTCCTCATCGCCTCACTCATCTTCAGGTTAGTGGCGGGAGTCGCATGTATGCCGTTAAGACCGCCATTGGAGGAGCTATGGTTTCCGTTTCCGCCTCCGCCCCCGATCAGGGTCTGCGGAATGCTGCCCACGGATCCGCCGAGCGTGTGTGCCGGATCCCGCATCTGGTGCATCAGCTCGGCCATCTGAAAAGTTCATAAAATTCGGGTTAGACACTCGCGTCTTGTCCAAGCTGGGGATTGATGGGGAAAGTAACGAACGTGCAGTCAGTACAACAGCCAATGACGAATGACCCCATGTCTCCCGGTTCTCCTTTGCCTTCTTTTATGACTCTTGCTCGGGTTTATGACAAATTTTGTGTGGTTCCGCCACTTAAGGGGATTCGGGATATGCCTGCCAACGGCGGAGCCAAGTTGGCTGGACATTCATCTCATATTTTAAGTTCGGACACTTGCGTGACTGCGGCATGGCTATATTTACTTGCAAAGTCCACAGGAAAGAGGAACTTTATTACAAAGTCCAGAAAAACTCCAACCAATTCGAAGGGATTGTGCTAATGGCATTTTCATTAGCCGATGTGCTCTGGGTATAACTTTATGTTTTTTAATCTAAGTCATGATGTTTGCGGAATAATTTTATAACTAATTCAGAATTTGGAAATGCACTTTCCAGAAAAAATATTGAAAGGTTTTCTGAATTAATTAAGATAAAATATATTAGTTTGCTTTAAAAAGCAAGCCACATGCTGATATGTTTTGATATGTATTTTGTAGCCTATATAGTGACCATTAAAATATATACGTATAAAATAAAGTTCTAAATTAAGTTCTAAGCTACTCTTCATGAGATGTTGTTCTAGAAAAGAAACACCTTTCAAGTAAAACTAAGTTTCTTATTCCAAAAGTCACAACTTTTCAAAGAACAAACTGTGCGATGTCGAGTGACTCACTGTGATCATCTGCAGACATCGTGTCTGCAAGATCCGGAGGGATGCATCAGCTGCTCCCGGCGTGCACTAACCATACAGAGAGAGCCCAAGACATATCAGCGGGCTTTCCTTCGGAAAGAGAGAGACCGGAGGAGCCCTGCGTCTCTTGTCCCAACGTTTTGGTTGCATTGAAAGGCTGCCAGAAATTATTTTGGCGGAAGCCAGCAAGTTAAAGTCCAATGTCATCTCACTCTCGGTGAGTGTAGCTAGCTGTCCGTCAGATGCGTCTCGAAAACGTATCTCGCAGATACAAGTTTGCGGTATCTCTAGGATGCATATATGTATAGCCGCATCTAATTGTCATTTATCAGTAATTTTAGGGCACAGAATCTCTCTCTCTCAAGCACACGAACAAATGAAAAATGTATCTTCCTAAATTGATTTCAATTTTCATTCTTATTTTGGGACTTTTTCACTCTTCTTTGCCTTTCTCAATTCGTGATCAGTCGTTGGGCGAGTGATCGTGACGTCATTTGCCGAGCAAAAGTCGCTGAGCAAAAATATTCAGATAATTTTAGATTTGATATTACAACGCTCAATGATAACCCAACTATATGTTTATTAGGAATTCATACAGTTCTATTTTAAGTTGTTTTTTTTTTGTTTATCTATTAAAAGTTGGAGGATTTTCTGTATTAAAATAAGATGCTTTATTGACAAAAAAAGCACGTTAAATATCATATCACATTAAAAATATTTAAATATTTAAGAAAAATTCACAAGAAATAGAGGATACCTTTGTTGACGATATACTAACAAAATAGCGATTTTTATTACAGGAATTTTACCATCTTATTGTTTTGATAATTAAGGAATATATTTTTCCCTGTGCATAAGCTATATACATATTGTATCTATGTATATATTGATTCGGATTTGTGCGGCACGCTTGACAACTGTCTGGCAATATATTTTAGGTATATATCTACATATACTTTCATCAGCATGTGTGTGTTCCTCTTTTTTATTATTATTGTTTAAGCGAAGCAAAAAAATCAAGCATCGCTCATACATAAATAATGAAAAACTGTTCGCAGGAATTCAATTCAACGTCACGTTCGCCTCGCGTTTCACTCGATGACTTTGTCTTTTCCCCTTATTTTTACGTGTTTGCACTATTGCTAAAATATCTGTTGTTGGCTGCATTATCTTTTTTTTATTTGTTGATTTGTTCACTTTTGTTTATAACAATGTGCATATATTTAATGCCGAATCAACGGTGCTTAATCTGTGAGCAACAGAACGCAACAACCTTGACAATCCGCAATGACAACACAGCCGGCAAATTACAAGCGATTTACAGGCGATTTGCACGCGTTTATAATCGCCCACGATTTCAGGTTTTTTTTTTTTTTGTATTTTCCCCAAAACTGTTTGGAATAGCATATGCTTAAAAAAGGCAACAAATATATATGGATATTTTAAATATAATACAAAAGGAATAATATTAAGATTTAGGTATTTCTAAAACCCTATTTACATTATTTAAACTCACTAATTTTGATCCGAACTGCTTTAAAAATTAAAGTTTAAATAAAACATGCTAGGTAAATCTTAAAAATTATAAATGTAATAAATTAGATAAACAGAAGGAATTTTAAATTATAATCTTTCCTTAATTTGTGGTGCATTGAACAAGAAACCTTATAAGTTACACTCATAAATCAGGGAGAAACGCATCAAAATGTTGCTAGGATTACGCTGAGCCATTGCTGCTGGCAAACATATTTAACAAAGAGGAAGGCACAAGAAGATGTTGCTAGAAAATCCCCATTTTTGCTGGCAACATTGCAAGGCTGCATTACATTCTCTCTACCCTCTTAACATACTCCCAGATCTATTAGAGATAATTATATTTTGCCAGGGACCATAATCATTATATAATGTTCTTAAATCTTTTTATAATTATTCTATTTTTTCTAATATTCTTTTAAATTTTCTGATTTTAAATAAAATAAACTGAAAAACTACCAAAGCAAAAAGGAAATATTATTTATTAACCTAAAGCAAAACTCTTAATAAATATTATAAATTTTCTACTGAAATTTTCATTTTTAAATATTTATGTATACAATATAAAATTCTGGAATATCGAATAAAGATAGAGCCAATGCAAATTTTCCCGAATATCTGAACCATAATACTTAATGTTTTATGTCAGCGATTTTTATGCCATTTTTTTTTTTTTTTGCCTCTAGTCGTGTTGCCCGTCAGCCAGTCTGCTTGTCTTCTGTCTGCCGTTTGCTGTTATCGTTGCTCGTTTGCTGTTTTATGACTTTTTATGCAATTGCAAATTGCAATGTGCGATGTCAGGGCGTCTGGCGAATAATAATAAAGACCTGGAGCTCGCTTTGGAGTTTTCGTTTTTAGGGGGCTCGGAGCAGCAGTAGCAGCAGCTGCTGTGGTTTGTTGAACCCTGTTTGCGGCCCCTCAAAAGGACGGATCGATTGAATGACAATTGGCATGGCCAACTCATGACCATCACCATTATTGCAGGCCACCAGACCAACTTGTTTACATTCGCCTTAAGGTCAAAACTGTGCGTTTGTGTGTGTGCAACGCATTTTCCTGCCAATTGGCGACGCTGCCGGGTTCGATCCGGTTCCCATTTGAGCAAACAGAAAATAGCGCCTTGTTTATTGTTATGTGTTTATCATTGACTGACCGACCAAGCCCCCACGCCATGGGATGTTTATCTTGTGCTAATTCGAATTATGGCTCAAATATCTTTCGGCTATCGGGTATAAAATGGACATATAGCTAGATAACTTGGCGAAAAGCTAAAGCGATTAAAGTTAATGTCATACTTTAGCATGTAGCTAAATTACAGTTTAATTCGTTTGCCAGCTTAGAGCTCTAAGCTGAACGCAGATACTTTATTGCCCCGGCAATTTGTGACCGGTTCCCCGAAGCAACTAAATCAATTGAAATTTAAACTTAATTCCTTTACTTTAATGCGTTTTGCTATATCCCATTCAACCGGCTCCAAGCAATGAATTGTGACCTTGAAAAAATTTTCACGTTTGCTTATCTTGATTTGATTTCGAACACTTGAAGTGCAGATATTTATATATTTCTTAATATTTAATTTAAAATGTACTTTGAGATAATAGCGAAAGATGCATAATCTGATCATAAAATACCCTTGAGTCAGTATGTTTAAAGCGTTGCATACTTTTGGACGCCACAAAAAATTATCTTAGCCTACAAATAGAAACTTAAAAATGTAATACTCTTCCAGCTTTGTTTCTAAAATAAGAAAATCTAAACAAAAATATTTTTCACCCATATAAATATATATTTTGTAGAATACAGAAGGAGCATACCCTTGAACTCTACTAGAGGTGGGCGCAAAATAAAAACAACTAAGAGCGAGGCCTTTGTGAAACTTTGAGAAGCCCATCGAAAGTGAACAATTGACTCAGCTGAAAAGTTAAAGCTGCAGAAGTGCCTTTTGCACGCTCTTGGACACTAGAGGGCCCAAATGGTCGCCGCCATGGCCATGGACAAGTGCCGCATAAAGGACAAATTCGAGAAACTTTTCCTGGCGCCTACGGCCAGCAGAATGACTGCCGGACCACCCTTCTCCCAGGCAACCATTTGGCACGCGCGCGGAATTTAATTTAGCACGAGTTGTGGGCGCGGAAGAGGAGCATTCTCATGGGATGTGAAAGCAAAAAATACACTCTATATGGTAATCCGCAAAATAGAATATCCGAGTCATTTACATGCGAATTGTCTCTTGTCGTTTAAATTTCAATAAATATAAAAAAGTCCAACTTGAAAGGTGAAGAGCAATGCTGGCGGAGCTAGTCTATTATTGAGCCCAGTCGATGGGAAGAAGGCCACCCCAAGGGCAAATCAATTAGCGCTCAGTGGCAGTGGATATCGGGTAAAGGGAGGTCAAGAAAGGGGAGGGGGGTTTCTGTATGGAAAATCCCAGGGCGAAGTCAACTTTTAACTTGGCCTAAACGCTGCAATTAGTGGGGAGACAAAAGAACAAAGCAATCACAGCAGTGCATGCATAACAAACCATTGCATAAGACGCCGCACAGAAAGGCAAAAACACACAAACAGAAAGTAAATAGAGGCAACGAGCACATTCACAAATTACACAAGGCGAAATTGAAATCAATTCAGTGGGTTAGTGGTCAATACTGGGGTTACTGGACAGGGAATACGGAACACTGGACGCTG